ATGCAAGCATTTGAGTTAGATGCATAAATACTTTTCATTTCCCTCTGCTTTCCCTTTTTCCTTACCTCACTCCTCTTCCTCATTGCTGCTAATTGATTCGTCATGTTGCAGCATAATAGATCTCTACATGTTACGTGTTGCTGCTCGATGCCTTCTCTGGAGGCCTGCCGCCATTCAGCACCTGCCCGACTTTGGCTCCAAGGAGGCTCCCAGAAAATTAGAAGATACCCAACGACAATACCGCCCTCTCTCCCTTAAGGCCCGTCAGGCGCTGGCGGAGAAATCGGATGAAGTGCAGTATCATGTGATTACCCAGGATTGGTTTGGGCAGCGCGTCGATACTTTTCTTACCCAGCACCATCCTGAATGGAGTTATGAAACCATGAAACGTCTGGTACAGCAGGGTCACATATACCGTTATAGAAAAAATGGAAAAAAACGATACACACGATTAACGGATCGGCTGGAGTTTGACGAACTACTTGTGGTGCCAACTCCGGCTTTTTGGGAAAAACAACTTGCTCCTCCTACTGGTGTGCTCCAGGAGAACACACGGCAATCCCAGTTTAAATTGTCGTCTCAGGTGCGGGAAATGGCACACAATATGGTGCTCTTCAAAAATGAGCACGTCATCGTTATAAACAAGCCTCATGGTGTCCCCATGATGCCGACAAGTGATGCACAGGAGATGAATATAACTGCCATGCTTCCTGCCTGGAAATACACAAGTGCGGTAAAACCCATTGTTTGCCATAACCTGGATAAGGAAACAAGTGGTTGTGTCGTTTTGGCAAGAACCAAGAATGCACATCGCATGCTAGCCCGTATGTTTGTGAAGCGTGTGGTGCCAAACAGTGTGTATTGGGGTTTTTGCGTAGGTAAGCCCACCGTGAACTTTGGAAGGGTGCGCATGCACTTTGAGATGACGAGGGGAACCAAGGGCGACATCATCGTCGCGCGTCCTTCGCCAACCAAAACTTCGAAAGTGGGTATTGCCGAATTTGTAGTCAACGCCAGTGCACTGGAGTTTGGAAGCTTCATCTCCTTTTACCCGCTAACCACACGTCGTCACCAGGAGCGGATTATGGCGGCGCACGCGCTGCGTTGCCCGTTGTTGGGTGACGCCAAATACGGAGGCGAGGCGGCGTTCCCCACCTCCATGTCCCTCTTCTGGGACCCGGAGGATAAAGGGCTGCCGTTGCACCTGCATCACCGAAAGATTCAGCTTCCGTACAAGAATAGTGCTGGGGAGTTTGTTTGCGTCACGGCTCCTCTTCCACCGCATATGGAAAAGACGTTTAAGAAGCTTGGGTGGCCATGTGAAGTGGATGATCCACTCATCCCAGGATGAGTCCATCGAGTTGCTTATTATTATTATTATTATTATTATTTTCCTTGCTTGCTTGTGTACATTTTCATTTTTCCGCGCCGCAATTATTGGCGTAGCCTACGCTTACGGCAACACATAAAGGAGAAATGGGAGGCAGCACGCGTGCACAAGCGCAGGAAAGCGAACGAGGGGGAGATGTTGTGTTGGTGCGTGCGTGGGCGTGTCGCTGTGGGGAAGTGGGTGGAAGTGGCCCCGTTGAAAAATGCAAAAGACGACTTTTTTTTTTTTGATTATTCTTTTACGCAATTGCTAAAGTGTCCCTTTTGGAACTCGACACGGGGGAGCATCCGCTGTTGCCAGCAGCAGCAAAAACAATAATAATAATAATAATAATACATGTGCAGTTGTGTTAGTGTGCCGCCTCGTCTGTATCGGCTTGCTACGGGGGAGGAGATAACGATACAGCCTGCCATTGAGCGTGGCGTGCACAGCAGGGAGCGGAGCGAGGTCCGGAAACGGCTTCTGGCCAGTGACGCACACCTCGTTCCTGGGGTCTTGGAGGTCGCCAGTGACCCTGCGGCTTCTGTTATTTTTATTGCCGTTAAGGAGGACGCACGCGCCGAACATGGGTTTTTGGGTTTCGTGGTTGTCAACGTCAGTTTCCTCGCGCAACAGCGGGTTGTGGTGATTGCGTGGATCTCCGTTCTTAGTCGCTTTCGGGGGATCCACGTGGGACGTTCCTTGCTTCAACACGTGGAGGTCTTCTGCCGCGTCAACGGCGTGGATCTCATGGAGGTGATGTGCACCGATGGTTACACGAAGTTGTTTCGGCGGCATGGATTTCATTCCTCCGCGAGTCCCGTCGCTTTCAAGAAAAAAGGCTTGCAAAAGCGCGTCGTCGTACACCATCTTCCACCGGTGCCCTTTTGCCTCAGCAGCGGTGCCGTGTCTGTGCGCTACGCCAGGCAGGAGAGCAGGAAGCAGTGGGTTTTCTTGGTGTTGGAGGCCTGCGGGTACAGCCTTGGCGGCGGTGAGTTGCTCCGTTGCATTTGCGAAGCGGAGTTTCGCATTGAGGCGGTTGCCGCAACGACTGACCGCGTGGTGGCGATCGTGGCGATGGACAAGCAGGGATGGATTCCCATCATCACATGCGTAGCCGAGTACCGTGGGCGCGGATTGGGGTCGTTTCTGCTCTTCTTGGCGGTGGAGTGGATGCGGCGGCAGGGTGGCCGCTCTGTTTCTCTGGCCCCGTTGAACCGGAGAGTCGTGCACTTCTACAAGCGCTGGTCCTTCCGGCCGATGACTTCCACCGCAGGCAGGAAGCGGCGTCGCAGCGCGCACGACTGCATGTTGCTTGAGCGCACCATTGACACCGATGCACATTACCTTCCGGACGGGCACTCCCTAGAAGACTTCCTCCCCGCTTCAACGCTGTCAACTTCCGCGGCGGCGGCGCAGCTGCAGCAGCCAGAGACCGAGGCGGCGCAGCTGCAGCAGCCAGAGACCGACGCGGCGGCAGCATCTCAGTATCCCAACCTTGCTGCATAGCATATTGGCGTTCGCGCTGCTCTCCCTGCGGTGCATGTGATAGGGCAACTTGCCCTTCTGCGTCCATCGGTGCATGTGCTGCGGCTGTTTCCCTCCTTCACCGCCTTTTCATTGCATCATTTTCACCTCGCTACTTTTTTTTGTTTTTGTTTTTTTTTTTTTGCGTTCCCGCCTTGCTAAACGTTGCGGGACCACAAAGCAAAAAAAAAGGGCGGCGGGGGTGGAAGAGAAAAAAAAGGGCTCACAGTTTTCTTTCATTTGTGTCTATTTTGGGTTCTTCTCGTTTGCGGGCCTCCACTCCACGACGCGGCGGGTGGGAAGGGGAAGCGTACGGTGCGGATCACGCCGAAGATGCCGTTGGTGGAGGTGTACAGCGTGGAGCAGTTCCGCGAGCTTGTGAATGAGGACCTGCTGACCGTGGCCTGGTTCACGGCGGTGTGGTGTGGCCCCTGCAAGACCATCGAGCGCTCCATGGAGAAGGTCACATTCGAATTTCCGACGGTGCGGTTTGCAAAGGTGGACGCTGACAACAACTCGGAGATTGTATCGAAGTGCAAGGTGATTCAGCTTCCCACGTTTATGCTGGTGCGTCAGGGCAAGATGCTTGGGTACGTTATTGGGGCAAACATGGACACCTTGAAACGGAAGATTCGGGAAAGCATTGGCACGACGTGAGGCGGCGTGCCAGCGAGGGGGAGAAGCTGTGACGAGCGCGTCTGTGGAGAAGGGGGAAATGGTTGGATGTAAACGGGCTGCGCCGACTGTGGGCTCCACGGCCCACTCAAAAGGAGCGGGGGAACGCGGGGCGTGCGGTTTCACCAGCAACAACAACAAAAAAAAAAAGGTGGGCGGCGGTTGGCGCTGGGGTTGTCGTCGCTCTCCGTCTCTGCGTGTGTAGCTGCGTGAATGGGGGATGTGCCCCGTCGAGTGTGTTTGGTCGCCTCCGCCTCTTCGTTGTTTCCCTCGAAGCGAGAGGAAGTGGTGCGCCTTACCCCTCCTCTTATTTGCCTTCTTTCATGCTGCTCACTCGCCCTCTCTCCCCACCCAAATTCTCCTGCTCTTTGCGCCTCCCACGGGAGGAGGTAGGGGAAGTGGAAGGGGCAATTCGCGAGGAATAAGTTCCGTGCACGCGTCAGCGAGAGCCGTCGCCCACGCACGCAGAGGAACGAGTGTGCGACCCACGGAGTTTTGCCGGCATGTCGGGGAATGCGGCCCGGCAGAATTACCTGCAAATCAGAGAGCAGCAGCAGCTGAACCGCGAGCGGGCGCAGGAGTCGACCGAAGCGGAAAAGCGGGCGCAGGAATTCCTTCAGCGCCAGAAGGCGCAGTACAGTCATGTCTCGTCGCACGGCTACGGCCAGCTGCGGGGCGGGGGCGACGACGTGGAGATCAAGGTGTTTATCCGCGAGTGCGACAGGGACAGGGCGCAGACGTTCTGCTTCATGGAGGGCGACGTGCTGCAGCGGCGGGGCGGCAGTGAGCCAAAGCCCAGGGCGCAGCCGAAACAGCAACAACCACAGTCACAGCAGCCGGCGCCGGTCTCCGCGGTGAATGTCCCGCGGGGGGTGGTGCCGAAGTACATCCTGCAGCGCAAGGCGGAGCTGGCGGCGGAGAAGGTCGCGGTGCTGCGGGAGTTGGAGCGGCAGAAGGAGATCGCCAAGTACCCGCCGGGCCACCGCCCTGTCACAGAGGAGGAGCGCAAGGAGACTCTCACGAAGCTCGCCGCCCGGCGGAGGGAGCTGGAGACGGAGCTGCACAAGATCCCCATCCGCTACGACACGCAGTCGATCAAGGCGCGGCGGAACAAAATTGAGGGGGAACTCAAAGAAATTGACGAGGCTGAGCGCAAGTTCGGTGCCGCGAAGCAGCTGTTTGTGCCCATCTAGGCAAACGGCTAGGCCCGCGACGCATAGAGAAAGTGAGGAAGCGTGGAGCAGTGAGAGTATATAGGTGAAGAGACAGTAACGAAGAGAAGGAAAAAAGGAGACCAAAACAAAAAGAAAAAACGAAAGGTGGAGGGGAAGAGGGAGAAATGCGCAAATGGAAGGAAGGTGTAGTTGTATACTTCCTTTGTGTGCATGTTTTTTTCTTTCTTTCGGCCTCCGCTCTGTGCCTTGCAACGCCGTCTGTGCGCGTCCGTGGCGCGCGTGTCCGCCGCTGCGAAGCGGGTTGCGTTCTGCGGTTACTTTTCTTCCCCCTCCCGTGCATTTCTTCTTTGCCCCGCTCTCACGGCATGCCCCCACCGCAACCACGCGGCAATGCGGGCGGCCGCGGTCCCTGTGACACCTTCGCAGTAGAGGAGCTAGCAATAAAGTCCGCGGCACGCCGCCGCCGCATGCGTTGTGCGCTCGCGTGGGGTGTCGTATGAGCAACCGGGAGAGACTGGTTGCCTTCTACCAGCGGCACAACCCTGCGAAGCTGGGCGAGGTCGACGCACTCCTGGAAACGTTTGCGGGGAGGGAGGAATCGATGTTTGCCGCGTTGCGGCAAAAGTACGGGGAAGCGGCGTCCACCGTGCGGAGCGTGACCGCTGCACCGGGTGCCCCCACAACTGAGGCCAACGCCGTGCACGCCGAGATGCGGGCGCTGCTAGCCGACATGGAGTCGGTCGACCTGACCCGGCTCCTGAGCCAGTTGAAGGGGCAAGCCACCGTGGAGAGCGACCTCCTGGCCCACACGCTTACCTTCATGCAGCACTTCGCCACCTGCGCCCAACGCTTTCAGGCGTTGAGTGGGGACGCGCTGCAGAGGCTGCAGGCGGCACCAGAGGCCCCGGGCCCTGCGGTCCCCGCGGCAGTGCTCGCTGCGGGGGAAGATGTGGCAACTCAAACGGAGCCCACCTCCACTGGGCGACGTGATGCGGCCGTGGCGGCGGGGGGGGCGGCGACGGTGTCTGTAGGAACGCAAGCAGACACGGATACTGAGAAGGTCCGCGGTGTGCCTTCCGCTGCGGTGAGTCCCACAAGCGAGCCGGAGTTGACGCATGCGGCGGCGACGCCACCGATGTACCATCCCGACGCTGGGGCGCTTCGTGCTGACATGCAGGCGGCTGTGGCGCCCGCAGCGTTAAACGTGGATGCGGAACTTGACCAGCAACGCAGGATTGGCACGGTGCACAGACTGAAGCCGGTGAACCACAAGAAGGCTGAAGTGATTGGGGCACTCTTGGCAGCAGGGGGGCTGGCGGACACCGACTCCGTCACCTTGGAGCCAGGCGTGTATCACGAGAATCTGCGTTTTGTGGACAGCGGCGCGGTGGAGGTGGTTGCCGTGTTTCCTGGCGCGCCAGTGATCATCAAACCACTGAGTAGTCTTGAGCCCATCATCCGGGCGGAGGGCGGCAGGACGCGGCTGCGCCTGAGTGGGGTGGTGTTGGTGGAGAGCGACCTCGCAGGAGGCGCGCCCGCGGAGTTGCCCGCTGCAAAGAACCCGCTAGTTGCCGTCACGGACGGCGCGCATGTGGAATTCCACGGCTGCCACCTCTACCAGGGAAGCTGCGCCGTGGAGGCCACAGGGCCGTCGACCGAGGTCTCTCTGCACCTCTCGTTAATTTCTTCCTGCACGTTTGCTGGCCTCTTCCTGCGCCTTGGCGCAACGGCGGCTATGACGCAGTGCAAAGTCAAACTTTGCGAGGCCGGGGTCAGGGTGGCGAGCCAGTCCTCCCTGCACGCAAGGGAGACGGTGGTGGAGGGGAACACCACAGACGGCATTGTCGCGTACGAAGGCGCAGAAGGGAAGTTGGAGCGGTCCAGTGTGCTGCGCAACGGCGGCAACGGGCTATTTCTTTCTTCCGGAGCCACTTTCATGGTGGCCGAGTCGACCGTCGAGTTGAACGGCCTCTACGGCATTCAGCGCCTGCAGAGCTCTGGGCTGCACCTGCGGGACAGCGTCGTGCGCGATAATGCGCTCCTTCCCATCAACGACGCCGAGGAGACGGTGAACCCGTGAGTGTGGTTGCGCTCTAGCCTTGCGGGGGGCGAGGCTGAGAGACGCGCCGCGTAATAAGGCGAGGCGTGCTTTCTTAGACATTCAATCCTACTATTTTCTTTTTGTTTTTCCTTCTTTTTGGCGTGTGTAAGTGGGGTTGTGTTGGGCCCCGTTGTTGAATTGCCTCTTTGGCAAGGAGGAGGATGGGCTGGGGTTTGTGGTGTGGAGGTATTCCTCCACTTTTGCATACATATTTTTTTCTCTCTATATATATATATAACCTGCACACAATCCGTCGAAGGGCGGGACAATGAACGATGAGGAGCTGGAGGAGCTCTTCTCCATCAGTCAGTACACCACCACCAGCACCGCCGCGGCGACTCCCACGGCAAAGCTGCGGGAGGAAGAATCGGTTAACATAGTTGGAGGCGGCACCAGTCGCAAGCGAACAGCTTCTTCCGCGGCCCCGCCCCTCCCTGTCACGCTGCCTATTCCACCTGACATCGAGGCGAAGCTTTTTGACTACCAGAAGGAGGGAGTTAGTTGGCTGTACGAAAGGCACCGCAAGGGCCGTGGTTGTCTTCTCGCAGACGAGATGGGGCTTGGTAAGACTGTGCAGATTGCCACCTTCCTTGGCGCGCTGTACATGGGCAAGCTCGCCACGAGCGCCATTATTGTCCTGCCGCCCACGCTGCTGCCCTTGTGGGAGTCGGCGCTTCAACACTGGGGACGCCTGGGGCCGCCCGTGGTGGAGGTGATTCACGGCGACGCCAAGGCGAGGCGGCTGCAGCGGTGGCGGCGGCTGAGGCACGGCACCGCCTGCCTCTTCCTCACGACGTACGGGGTGCTGCGGCAGGACAGCGGCGCCATGGGGGTGCGCATGGTCGACTACGTCGTCATGGACGAGGCCCACCTGATTAAGGACGCCTCCACGCAGGTGTTTCAGAGCGCCATGGCCCTGTCAGCGCGCCACCGCATAGCCATTACGGGAACACCGCTAATGAACAACTTTGAGGACCTCTGGAGCATCTTTCAGTTTATCGACGGCTCCATTCTTGGGACCACACGGGCCGACTTTCGCTCCATCAACGCCGTGCTGCTGCGCGGCAACGAACGCGACGCGCTCGAGAAGGAGCGGGTAGACGCGGGAAGGCAGCTGGCGCTCATTCAGGCGGCCATACGCCCCTTCATGCTTCGCCGCGACAAGCGTCAGGTGCAGATGTTGCCTGCTGGAAAGCGGGACCTTATTCTTTGGCTGCGCCTGAATGAAACGCAGGAGCGGCAGTACGTCTCCTTCGTCGAGGGTGGGCGCGTGGACGTGGCACTTCGCGATAGCGACACCTCACAGCCGCTTGTTCTGCTCACGGCGTTGATGCGGACGTGCGACCACCCGTGGCTCAACCTTAGTGATGAGGCGTATCGAGAGGCCGTGCGGCATCCACTGGCGTGCCCCGAGGCAAACAAAAACTGCGGCGATGCGCTTAACAGCGCGAAGATTGCCGCGGCGCTGGCGTTGGTTGTGAAGTGCATTGGTGAGCAGCGCAAGACCCTTGTTTTCTCGCGTTCCAAGCGTCTGTTAGACCTCCTGGCCGTTGCACTGCGCTGCTGGTGGATTGACTTCGCCCGTCTGGACGGGGATGTGCCGGCGGAGGAGCGGGTGGGCACCGTCCGGGCGTTCAACCAGAGTGCGCGGGTGTGGGTGTGCCTTCTCACCACGCAGGTTGGCGGCGTCGGCCTCACGGTCGAGGCCGCCTCCGCCGTCGTCCTGCTGGACCCGAGCTGGAACCCTTCCGCGGACGCGCAGGCGATCGACCGCGTCCACCGCATCGGCCAGACCCGCGAGGTGGTCGTCTACCGCCTCGTCACCTGCGGCACCGTGGAGGAGAAGGTCTACCGCAACCAGGTCTTCAAGGTCATGGCGGCCAAGCAAACCGCCTCCCTCGGCGCGCCGGCAGGGCAGGAGGGCGCGGAGTTTCACCGCTACTTCACCCGCCTGCAGCTGCGCAGCATGTTTGACGTGGGCACGCTGGACCGCAGCGAGACGGCGGCGCAGTTGGACGCCCTGCACCCCCACGCCGTGTCCCCCACGGAGCGCGCGGCGCTGACCGCGCTGCCGTTCGTCTGCGACGTCAGCGACAACAGCCGCGTCCACGTCGAGGCGGTGGTGGAGGCGGAGCGGGAGCCCGACACCCCCCTCGCCGCCGCGCGTCGCTGTGGCGCGAAACGCCGGCGACCCGCAAGCCAGTCCCCCCCGGCTTCGCAGGAATGCCGCCACGAGCCGCTCAGCCAGGAGGAGGTCTCGGAACTCATCCTGCAGCTGGAGGAGGAGGAGGGGGCTGCCGGCAGCCAATCCGCCACCGGGCGGCTGTCGGCCTGCGACGATGCGACGGCACTGGCGGCGTCCTCTGCTGGCAGATCGTCGGCAGAGTGACTCCGCAGCAGATGCACACACACACAGATATATATATATATATATGCATAACCTCCTACCCCGTAGAGGGTAGGAAGCAAAACGGAAAAAAAAGAGAGAGAGAGGAGAAGTGTCGGTTTGCTCCTGTTGATAAACTTGTGATAGATGTTCTTTTGGCTCTGCGCGGTTGCAGCGCTCCATCACATCCGTAAAAAAATTTTTGTACACTTGCCAGCTATTATTTGTACCCGCATTGCGCTCTAGATATTGCTTGCACCTTTCATGCACACACACACAGGCACAAAGCGGCACAGGCACACCTCCTTTGTTTGCTTTTGTCTGTGCGAGTTCCTCCCACAGCCCTTGAAGCTGCGATCCTGTCACGCGCAGTCTCTCGCCCCGGATGCTTTAGCTAGGGCTTTGGATGCGCAGCCAGAGACGGCGCGGGAAAAAAAAATAAACAAATAAAAGAGTTGTTCGTCTAATTTATACTTCCTCTCTCGCTTTTACCGTTGTGTGAAGTTTTTGGCTGCTTGCCGGGGGCTGTCCGTGGCTCTTCTGCTGTTTTCCCAGCTCTCATGAGCGCGCGGTCTCCGCGAGTCCCCCGTCTCTCGCCTGGCTGCAGGGTTATTAGGAGAGCCACACACACGACAGGGAATCCAACATTGCAACGAGGAGGAGTAGGCAAATAAGAGACAAGGGGGAAAAAAAGGAACAGGGGGTGGTAGGCGGCGCTGCTTGTGTTTGACTACTTTGCAGCGGCAAGGCCAGAATGTGTGCGGCACTGGTGCGGCTGTACTGCTATGACCTCTCTGGCGGCATGGCTGCAAGCCTGAGTGCGGTGTTGATTGGGCACCACCTGGACGCCATCTGGCACACCGCCATCGTCGCCTACGGAAAAGAGTTTTACTTCGACGGCGGCGTCGGCGTGGTGCACGAGCCGCCGGGGCGGACACGCTTTGGGGCGCCGAGGCGCATCGAGGTTCTGGGGGAGACCACCAAGACAGAGGCGGAATTCCAAGCGTGGATCCAGCAGCAGCGTCGTCGCGGCTTTGGCCCGTACGACTACAACCTTCTTAGCCGCAACTGCAATCATTTCACGCAGGATGCGGCGCAATTTTTGCTGCAACGAGATATTCCGGACGACATACGCAACATGCTCCCGCGAGTGTTGGAGACGCCGCTGGGCCGCACGCTGCTTCCCATGCTGCAGAGTCTCACGACGGCCCCGGCGGCTGCTGCTGCGGCTGCGCCCCCACCAGCGCCTGTTCGGGCGTCTGCCCCTGCGCCGGTCACGGGGGTCGGTTTACGTTCCACGAAGGAGAAGTTCACGGAGGCGGAGGAGGAAGAGCTGATGCTCGCGTGTGCGATGCTGCAGTCCAACGAGTTGCTCTCGCCAGGGTCGCGCGAGGGACTGGATGTCACGCGTGGGGCGCTTGAACTTCTTCGCGGGTCTCTCGTGAATATACTGGAGAACCCCACTGAGCCAAAGTATCGGGGCCTGCTCACATCCAGTCAAACCTACAGGACAAAACTGCTTCCATTGGAGGAGTTTGGCGTGATGGACATTTTGCGTCTCTCTGGGTTTCGTCTGCGGCAGCATCCCTCCGGTAAAGGGCAGCAGTGGTACCTCAGCGACGCCGACGGCAGCGACGTGATACTGAGTATTATGGTTGCCCACTTGAGCGACCTGCTGGAGGCGGTGAACGCGGAGGCGGCCGCGTCCGTGTCTGGGTCTGTGGAGGAGGCCCCTGTTTGTAGTGCGACGCCGGTTGCGGCTGAGGAGCCCCGTCGTCCCCCAGCGGAGGCTGCGGCGAACAGCGCGGGAACTCGTGCGTTGGAGGCGATTTTGCACGACGCCGGAAAACCCCTCTCCTCGCTCGAGGAGCTGTGGAACTGGTCGCCCACGGCGCACGGCCCCATCACGCCCGCCCTGCCTTGCCGTCGGCGCGTGGCTGGCGCGTGCGGGGCGGCGACCCGACTTTTGGTCTGCCACGACATGCGCGGCGGGTACCTGCCCGGCGACTACGCCCGTTTCGCGCTCTGCGACGCCGCGTCGCTGGTGGAGCCTGCGGTGGACGCCAGCTACACAGTGAGCTACTGGGGCCTCGTGGACTACTTTGTCTACTTCGCCCACCACCGCGTCTCCGTTCCGCCGAAGGAGTGGATCAACGCCGCCCATCGTGCGGGGGTCCCGGCGCTCGGCACCTTCATCACGGAATGGAACGGGGAGGAGATTCGCATGCTGCTGCACAGCGCACAGAAAATGGGCGACGCCATTCGGCAGCTGGTTGCCGTCTGCAACGCCTACAACTTCGACGGCTACCTCGTGAACATCGAGGACAGCGTGGACGCGACGCTGGCGGGGCGGCTGGTGGCCTTCGTGACGATGCTGCGCCGCACCCTCAACAGGGACCGGCCGCCGACCTCCCCGGAGCGGGTGGTCGTGTGGTACGACGCCGTCACCATCGACGGCGACTTGTGCCACCAGAACGGTCTCACGGAAAGGAACAAGGCATTTTTTGACGCCGGCGACGGTCTCTTTACGAATTACAACTGGCGCCCAAACCGCCTCGTTGTGTCGACCGCGCTGGCGGGGGATCGTGCCCGGGACGTGTACGTCGGGGTGGACGTGTTTGGGCGCGGCGTGTATGGAGGTGGAGGCTACAACAGCGACAAGGCTGTGAGGTGCGCGGCGGCGGCGCAGCTGTCCGTCGCCCTCTTTGCGCCCGGGTGGACGCTGGAGGTGGAGGGCGGGGGGAGGCGGGAGGTGTTTCTCCACTCCGACGCCGAGATGTGGGCAAGGGTGCAAGGTTTCTTTAGGCCCAAGCAGGTTGCGTATGACACGCTGCCGCTCTGGACCTGCTTCCGCTCGGATGTGGGGAAACAGTTCTTCGTCAACGGTGAATGCGTCGTGGGAGGGGGCTCGCACGCCGTGGAGTGGTGTCAGCTCTCCCAGGCGCACTTCACGCCTTGTTGCCAGTTCATCTCCAGCAGCGAGAAGTGCGGTGCGTGGTGCGGGCTGCCTCTGGAAACGGAGGCCTGTGACGCAGACGAGGCAGACGCCGCGCCGCGGGGCGTGGCACCTGTGGAGTGGCTGACAGACGCGGCGTGGATGGGGGACCGCAGCCTGAGATTCGTTGTGCCTTGCCGAGGTGCCGTGACACTCCTGCGGTCGCAGATCGGCCTCGCCGGGGACGATGGCAGCGGTGGCCCGCTGGCGTTTCTGGACGTTGCCTGGTGGTGTGACTCCAGCAGCAGCGAACGTTGCTCTTCGCGGCGCCTGCGTGTGGCGGGCGTCTCTGCCGCCGCCACGACGCACCTCGTGCTGGACGAGGAGAATACCCCCGGTAGGACGGCAAGCGTTGTTGCGCGGGTCGGTGACTGGGAGATTGTTCGCTACGTTATCCCGGCCAGCACCAACTGGTCGAGTATAACCTCGGTGGCGGTGCTGAACACCTCCGCGGTGCATGCGCTGAGCTGCACTCTGGGCGGCATAGGCTTCCTTCCACCCACGTGCACTGACAAGGAGGAGGAGAGTGTGCTGCTGGTTGGCCCGGCACATCTGCTACCTGCCGACGCGTTCGTCGTCAGGCTAACCAACCGGCCCACGACACGCGCAGTGGAGCTGCGGTTGCCGCAGGCAGGGAAAGAGTGGGGGAGTTTCCTGGCCTTCGCAAAGGTGCGTGCGGAGGGCGGCGCGCCGGTTTGTGTGTACATGGGACAGCACGAGGCGAAACCGAAGATGTGGCTGGAGCTTCACATTGCGGCCAGCGCCAGCGTGGAGGAGCTGCTGCTTCGCCGTGTCTCCCCCGGCAGCTGAGCTCCCTATCACTGGGAGGACGCGTGCGGCAGGAATTCAACGGTCGCCTCACTTCTTTTTTTTTTCTTCTTCCTCCGCTTGCGCACGCTGCCGCGTAGAGGCACAAGTGTGAGTTTCTCTGGGACCCCCCGGCGGAGGGCTGGACGGGACGCCGCTGACTGCGTTCCTCTTCGCCGCACGACGGTTAGTATTACTATTGCCCTCCCCCTTGCTCTGTGGGAACGATGAGACCTTTCGGACCGGTTTTTTTTGCCCCCCATTTTGTTTCTGCTGAGAGCGGCCCCGGGGTTGCAATGCTCCATGCCTTTGGTTTTCCCCCTCCCCGTCTTCTCTCCCTGCGCCGCGTGCACGGCAGAGGTGCGCGGTCCCCGTACCCGGCACGTAGCTGAGAAGTAAAGCCGCACGAAAACAAGACAAGAAAGAGAGAAAAAAAGGGGGGAGGCAGGGGATGTTCGCGGCACGCCGCGCGTTGTTTGGTTTGGCGGGTGGCTTCGCAATCACAGACATGTACGTGAATTCTGTGTGCCTCTCTGACATGTACGCGGAGCCGCCCCCGCGTCTGCGTCCTGCGGGTGGGGACTTCATAGGCAACCTCGTGAAACGGGTGGGTGACTCCCTTTCCGCGCCGCCGCCGCCTCCGCCGCTGACTTCTCTGCGGGAGGACATTGAGGCCGCGCTGCGGCGGAACCGCGTCGCTGGCACACTCTGCGTCTGCACTTTGGTCTCTTTCGGTGGGATCTGGCCGGTGCTTGGGTCGGCCGCCGCCATCCTCTTTGACGGGGAGGATGGGACCGAGCGCTACACGGCAGTGAAGGACTGGCTGCAGAGTTGATTCGCGTGGCTCGCGCCTGCGTTGAGGGGCACCGCCGTGCCTATCCGCTAGCGCGCATGTGCGCTGGGCGACCGGTCTGACTGGCTGCACGCATGCGGACGGCTCTTTTGCAGTCATGTTCCTTCTTTGTTGGTGGTGTTGCTGTTGTGTGTGTCTGCGCCTTTGGCGGTACCCGCATTTCGTGCAGCTTCACGCTGCGCCGTCAGCCTCGACTGTGCGTCTTGGCTTTGACTTCACGCGCGCGTACGACTGCCGTGCCTGCTGTCTGTCTGTGTGTCTGTGTGTGCTTGGGGTGACGGCAGGCTGTATGATTCCCCTCGTGCCTGCCGTTGGCGTTTGCCCCTTTTATTTTCTTTCTTTCTTTTTCTTGTTGCGTTGGCGGGCGGCGGGGCGATTCCTGCGAGAGCGCGACGAAGGCGACGTTGCGGAACTAAAAAGAAGAAAGCAAACCGGCAGGGCGGAGGCGTGCGGGTCACCCAGTGCATCCGCAGAGAGAGAGAGGCACACACACACACGCGACGTGCATTCGGTCCCCGGCGCTCGCCCCTCCCCCGCGATGGCCGCCACGCGCCTCAGCTTCACCGTCTGCGGCCTCATCAGCCACCCGGTGTTCCAGAAGTGCAGCGAGGCGGCGGAGTACCTGCGGCGGGAGTACAGTGATGAGTTTTACGTGGAGGTCTTCCGCGAGGTCCCACGCGACTTCCACAGCCGCCGGCAGAAGATGCTCGACGAGGGGAGCATCGCGGACGGCGACATGGACGTCATCGTGCTCCGCGACGGCGGGGTGGCGATGTCGGGGGAGGCCTTCCTGCGCATGCTGCAGGAGCAGACGCACTTTCGCCTCCTCGACCTCCCCGCGGCGGCGGCGAACTCCTACGAGGCGATGGCCTTCGCGTCGTGGAAGCGCTTCCTGCGGGAGCGCGGCAACAGGTACTGCTGGATGCTGGTCTCCATCGACGGCGCCGTCCGCGGCCGCATCACGTTTGAGCTCTACTCGCAGGTTGTGCCCAGCACCTGCAACAACTTCTGGCACCTCTGCCACGGCGACCTTGGCAGCGTGCCTGCCGTTGCCGACGGCGACGGCGAGGCGCAGCCGCTGGAGCTGACGTACAGGGGATCCAAGTTCTTCCGCATCCTGCACGGGGCGTGGGTGATGGGCGGCGACATCTCTAGGGATCACAACGGCAACGGGGGGTACTCCTGCTACGGGCGGTACTTCCCAAACGAGTCCTACGCCATCCCGCACGACGCCCCAGGGGTGGTTGGGATGTGCAACGACAGCGAGGACACCAATGCGTCGTCCTTCTACATCACGATGAAGGCCATGTCGTGGATGAATGGCCGCTACGTGGCGTTTGGCCGGGTTATAGACGGCATGGACGTCGTGGCGGCCATCCACGACGTAGATGTAAAACACAATCAAAGCCCCTGCAAGACGATCACCATCAGTGACTGCGGCGTCATCGACCTCACCGACGACTGACGCGAGAGCAGAAGACGCAGGAGGAGGAGGGCGACCGGCCTCGGCCCACCCCTCCGTGTCTGCCACCTCTCCGCCTCTCATTGCGGGCGCACACGGGAGGGAGAGGAGCAACGGAAGAAGCAACTGGGGGGAGCGAGGAGGCGAAAGAGAGCGGGGAAAAGAAAAGAAAAGAAAAACATGCATCTGACGCGGGCCCTCCGCAATGTGTCTCTCAGACTGACCCCGCACCAACCCCCACCCGCGCGCTTCGCGAGCCGCCAAAAGGAGGAGGCGACGCCCATTTCGCCCCCGGCGCTTCTGCGGTCGCAGCACGAGATGCGTCTTTTTCTCCCCGTCTCTCTCTCTCTCTCTCTCTCTCTCTCTCTCTGTTTCTTCTTGGTTTTCCTGCAAAGGCTGCACGCGCAAATGAAGCGCCAGGAGGAGAAACTAAAGCAACTCCAATCGTACGGCTACAGCAAAACAAAGTCGGCGCAGGCGCTGAAGGACGCCGGCAACAACGTTGATGTCGCACTTGCAATACTAAAACGGCAGCGAGGACAGCCGTCGACGCCGCCCAGCGCGACGCCGGTGCGGCCGAATCAAGCCGGTCGCGCGGTGGAAGTCGTCAACACCCCTCCAAGGGAGAAAAAGCACCCTTGCATTGTGCAGCACAAGAAGTGCCGCTACGGGGATTCGTGTCTCCTGCGAGACTACCCTGGCGACGTCTGCATCAACCACTTCTTCGGGTCCTGCGCGTTCGGCAGCGCTTGCTGGAAGCGGCACTACGTGGACGGCGTCGACATACGCGCGGCCCAGCGCCCCGAGCCGCGGGACGAGACGATGCGGCTTCAGACGGGCGTCATCCTCAAGCTGGACAGAGTCAGTGGCAACCACCTGCTCGTCGGGAGGCCCGTAGGGCGGGCGGAGGCGGAGGCGGCGGCGGCGGCGGCGGCGGCGGCGTTGGCGGTGGAGCCGCCGCCGCCAAGCCGCTTCAACCTCATCCAGGGCTCCGAGCCGACGCACACAGACCCCCGCCCACTGGAGTGGCAGAGGCAGTCGACTTTGCTTGCGGCGGCCGTGCAGGCGCCGCGCCCCTTTTTGGAGGCGGTGCGAAAACAGCCTCCAGAACAGTGCAAGACGCCGTCCCCACCATTGCCGCCGCAGAGGCTGAAACTGCCTCCAGCCTATTCCGACGCCGCCTCCGCCGCACGCACGGGAAAGCATCCTTGCATTTTCCAGATGGGTTCATGCAAGTACGGGAAGAATTGCATGCACGCGGATAGAGACGAGGATGTCTGCGTTTACTTTCTGAATAATTGCTGTAATCGTGGGGCAGCTTGCCCGTACCGCCATGAGTCCAATGCGGAGTTCGTTCGGCGCGCCAAGCCGCAACTGTTTGGAAGTGCCTCGCCGGGAGAGTCGCCTTCGCGTGTTATTGTCATGCGACCCGGGGAGACGACGCAGGGGGCATATGTCGATTTATTGCGGCAGCAGCAGCAACAACAACAACAACATGAAGGAGGGGCAACGTTTGAGCAGAGGCAGCCAGTGCATCTGTCAAGTTTTCTTCCTGACTTGGGGCCTGGCGACGACAACGACGAGGAAGAGGATGGACTTTGCGGGGGTGGGGAGCCGCAGACGCCGCCGGAAGGCCACGGCGGTCTCCTGGGCGACCGTGAGCTGGGTGCGTTGATGTCGCTACTTGAGGCGTTCCCAAGCACCGAGCCACTTCTTGTGCTGCACGCCCTTCGCTCCGCCAACGGGGATTCCAATTTGGCGGCAGACACGCTGAGTAAGTTGAACGGCTTTGAGACCATCGAGGACGTTGAGGCGTGCCTTGCGCGGGAGCGGGCCGAGGATGAGGCCTCGCAGGCGCAGGCGCAGGCGCGGACGCAGTCCACGCACGAGTCTCTCCTCACCCTCTGTTACTTGTTCCCCGCCCTGGACGTCCCCGCGGTTGAAGCCGTTCTGGGCACCTGCGGCGGCGACTACGCGGAGGCGTACGGCATACTTCTCTGCTCGACAGAAAACATCACGCGACAGGACTTGGGCAACTGCTGGAACGGGAACATCAAGCCAGCGGACGAGTTGCGGCTGCAGCGGGTCTGCCAAATGTTCTCCTCAGTGCCGAAGGAGGTGGTGCGCAGCACGTTTGGCGCGGCCGGCGGGGACGTGGCGGAGACCATCTCCGCTCTTAATGCGATGACGAGTGACATGCTGAGTGTGGAGGTGGATACGGCGTCTGCAGCGCCTGCCGCCGTGGCGCCCACACCGTCAGCCGCCGAGGCGCTGCCGTCCTACTTGCTGCGGCCAAGTGCGACGCGGGAGGAGATCCAGAAGTTCTACGAGGAGGTCGAGGACGAACTCCGCATGCTGGGCGACTGGCGACGTGTAAGTGAGCAGGCGTATATCGTCAACGCCTGTCGCATTCGCATCATGAGCCGGGCGACGCAGGCGTACAATCGTGGCGACGGCAAGACGGCAAAGACGCTAAGCCGCCACGGCAAGCAGCTGGGCGCGGAGTACGTCCGACTGAACCGCATCGCGATGATCGCGCTGGAGCGGGAGCGGCTTGCGCAGGACTCTGCATCAACGCTGGACCTGCACGGGTTTCACGTGGAGGAGGCTGTGGAGGTGCTGCGGCGTCGCGTGCAGCTGTGCGTGCAGAAGCGCATCCGGCGGCTCACAGTTGTGGTGGGCAGAGGGCGACACAGCCGTCGCGGCAACTCCGCCGTCTACCCCGTCATCCTAAACCAGCTGCAGGAGGACCCGGAGCTCAAAAGCGTCGTGGAAGTCAGGTCGAAAAAACCAGCCTACTTTGAGGTCGACATCATATTGCGTGATCGGTAGTGGCGTACGCAGTCAAAACGGTGGTCACGCAAAAAAAAATGGGGTGGGGGGTGAGTTCGTGCGCCAGTGTTGCCCGCACACTGTTGCGCTTAACTGCCTTCGACCGCCAAGCATTTGTACTATGTGTTCAGGTGCGAAAATACACAAATATATGCAAACTTTCTTTGCTGTGCCGCCGCTGATGCTTTTGCCATGGCCATTACTCCGCCTAACTGAGAGTAATCCTGTAAGGACGACGAATAACAAATAATAATAGCTTGCTCTGGGCGCACGCGGTGGCCGTGTTTGTTTGTGTTGTTTGTGTGTGTGTGTGTGTGTGAGTGTGTGTGTGGTGTGTGTGTGTGTGTGTGAGAGAGAGAGAGAGAGAGAGTGAGCGTGTGTGTGAGTGAGCGTGTGTGTGAGTGAGCGTGTGTGCGCATGTGCGTGTGTTTGTGTTTGTGCATGTGTAGCCCTCGTTGTGTCCCGTCTTTGCCCGTTGGTACTGTTGCTTTCTGGTTACCATCCTGTTGGAGGTGCGGGGAGCAGTAGGGGAGTGGCGGCCACAGCGGCGAGCGCGGCGGTGGCGGGAGCGATGGCCGGCTGCAGCCGCGGCATTCTAATCGCCGGGGCCACGAACCGGGCACGGACGCAGATGGCGGAGGGCATTTTGCGCCGCCTGACGGCGAACACGGTGTTCGTCAAGAGCGGCGGCGTCCACCACGAGGCGACGGTCCACCCGCTCGCGTCAAAGTGATGC